ATACATACATACATACATACAGGTTGGCCGATTATGGTATACAAGTACAATACTACATTAAGTCTAAAATATTATGTTGTACTATATTCTATATTTTATTATACTCTACTGTGCTATTTTTTACTGGCATTTTCTGAGTGTTGAGGCTGTCAGGTTTCGGGTTTACGTGTTCAAGCCGAAGTCGGGTTCACCAAGATGCCCAAGGCAACCTGACTCCCTGCAATCCTTAGTGCAAAATAGTATATTAGAGTGTATGATAGTAGCTTATATAATAGTATGAATCGCCAGCATCGGGTAATGCAATCCGCAATCGCAGGCATCTACGTTGTCACAGAGGGCAGGGAGGTCGAGGCAGGCTGTTGGGGTGTTTGGCTTTACAGGGCTTAGGTCTGACGGGTCTGAGGCTTCCAGGCGGAATCAGCCCAGGGCGTGGGAAGCTCGTGCGGCCGGGGGTCCGGGGGTTGACAGGTATGAGCAGTTTTCCATCCAATACTAAGGAACTCCTCTGACCACAACTCCGTTCTATCTAGAGTCAGTGTGACACGCTAAGAGCTAAACTTAACAGCGGATCTTGACACTAAACCTCAAATTCGGGGGCGTTCTGGCTTCAGAAACTGTTTTGGATGCGTCCACGAGAAGTCCAGTTTACAACAACAACTTTGCAAACTGTATAGGCATCTGTAAAACCGTAAATCTCTTCTACTTGCCTGTAGTTTCCGCTAAACGGAACCCAAACCATTAAACCCTTGAGCACGAAACCCCAAACCCCAAACTGCCAACTCCTGAACACCCTAAACTTTCTTGAAACCCAAACCGTGAACAATGCTATCCCCGTACCCCTGAGCTAGCCCTGAAATCCGAAATCCGGAATCCGAAACCACCGTCCCTTGCACCTCCTCCTCCAGCAGCATCAGGCGCGCCCTCTCCAGCCTCGCAATTTCGATTTAGGCGTTTACCATGCAGGAATATAGGGGAGCGGGGGTACTGTCACTATCAGACGTCTGTATTCTATGGATATGACAATGTATACCTTGCTCGAGATCTTAAGGGTTGGGGTCGGTTGCAAATATCTATAGTAAACAACAAGACTTTAGAGGAGTTTTACATACTCTGGTCTTTGATGCTTAGGCTTGCGGGGCCTGAGGATGTAAAGTTCAATCTGGGCCTGAAGGGTCGGAACCATCTTCCGGAGAACCACTTCTCGTCGACTCGTGGGTTTGGGTTGAAAACTGAAAGGTTGAACCTGAATATTAATAGCATAACAAAATAGAGGGACTGCAGGGCAATATCACCCTTAAGCCATACTAGCCCTTCCATGAAACCAACATCGCTGCAGATCATCCTCAGAAAACCCACAAAGCCGAAAACTAAAGAAACAGCACTACACGTCCTTTTTCAGCCTTACAAGCCCAACC